GAGGCCATCAGGTGAGACAATATGGACTTCTACCGAGAACTGCCGGGAAGGATCCAGTGTGCAAAAGTTTATGCATGTGCAGATGGTGTTGGCAATAGTTTAATAGTGTTAAAAAATAATAGTTGATCTCAAAGAGATTGGTATTCAGCAAACAAATAACAGCCACAGGGATATTGACCGTCTGAGGGTTATTGGCGAGGTTAAGTAAACTAGAGTGTCTATCCGACACACAGTACAATCGGTGGTATCAGATGGCTGGTTGGCCCGAGGCCAGCAGAGAAAGAGACAAGCGGGGGAGACGATAGAGACGGACAGGAGATAAAATAACGGAGCTGGGCATTACGAAAATAGGCCCGAGTAAGATTGATCTACATCATATTCGGCCAGATCCGGCCAAGAAGCGGGAAGACGCTATGACAGCGGAGGCGAGGGCGAGCGGCTGCCTGAGAGCCGCAACTCGCAGAGGATCCGGCCGATCAGATACATGGCCACAAGGCCTGAGACAGGTAAATGCATGTAGAAAGACATGAGCCTGGCTGTTGGGACATTTGGGTCCGCGTCGGTTTGCCGATAATTTAGAGCCTGTGCCACAATGCGTTAGTCAGTGTTAGCCTAGAATTCGAAGTGTGCCTTCCGCCTGTCCACAGCAAATGTATTGATCAGATTACACACACATTTATACATATATATATATATATATATGTATATATATATGCATGCATGCATGCACAGACGTACACAATCGGACATGTGCACAATAAGCATGCAAAGAGCGTGCAAGCACACGCGTTTAGTTGCGATTGTTTGTGTGACTGGATCGGCAGACCAAAGGGGCAATCTATGTCGCGTGCGTTTGCCTTGTTATGTGTTTGTGCGTTTGTGAGTGTATACGTGAACAAACCAATCGCCTAAGAGCATGCATGCAATGAGGGAGACAATAAGAGATAGCAAATCATGTTGCTGTTACGGCTCGTCGTGCTAATATGGACATGGACATCTCCATCAGGCAACATTTACCTGAAGCCTCATGTGAAGGCTAGGGCACTACTTTGATTCGCCTATCTGTGTCGTCATGATTATGCTTCTCTGATCACTCTGGGTATGCGTCTATGACCGTCAGATTTATAAAACACTAGAAGAACCTATAAAGCAATATGCACTAATTATAAAGAAGATGAATGTGGTATTCCAAAGTTTCGCAGAGCTATAAGAATGCTGATCTCCAGAGCCGGAGAATGTAGCGACAAATAAAATACTGTAAGGGAAAATCATAGTGTGCATGGTAAAGTCTGAGAGATGAAAGGCAAAAATAAAAATGGATAACAAATTAGACGCGAGAAGGTGAAAGGGAAATTGGAAGCCTGCTTAGCGAATGAGAGCGAAAAGGTTGAAGAATACCATGTAGGAAATGATCATTTGACTGATGAGAGTTACAGGTAGAGGCAGATTTATTGTTTCAGGTTTATGCCGGTCAAAATCCACCAATGACCTGGAGGATGCATACAGACTTCCAGGCCTGACAATAGCTTATTATACCCCCTAAAAGTAAAACCAATCAAATCACCGGCAAAAACTAAAGTTAAGTCTAAATTGATGTAAAATCAATTGATGCATAAGACCAACGATCATTATATATATATATATGAATACCGAGAGGAAATAAAATGATGACTTCATTTTCGCGAGTGCATTCATTTCAGAGCACTCAGGAGGAGGATTTTCCTAAAGAAGCCACACGCGATAATGGCCCTTAGTCTTGCTTACTATACCATAGTATTCATGCTTATTTGTAGTATCATACCTTTGGCTAGGCAAATTCTAGACGTTTGATT